ATGGTTTAAACAGTATTTTTATTTTTTTAAATTTTGGTTTGTCATATAAATAATTAATATCAATAAATTTTAATTAAAAAAATAATTTAATAGATTGAGTGACTTTTTTAGGAAAGAGTAGATAGTTGAGTGATTTTTGAGTTAAAATTCAAAGTTGAGTGACTTTCTGAGAAAGAAGTGCATAGTTGAGTGACTTTTGAGTGAAAATTGAAAGTTGAGTGACTTTCTGAGAGAAGAGTGCATAGTTGAGTGGCCATCTGAGGTATTAAATCTCCTTTGTTACAACCTTTTAAGAAGGTGATCATGTATAGAAGGATAAAGATTCACCATCTGTGTTGTTGATGGCTAAATTCAGTACCTCATTATTTACTAGTATATCTATAAACTCATACTTATTACGAATTCATATGTTTGCTAGATTTCTGACTTAATTAATTCGTCTGTAATTGCGGGTTCCCCATGGGGTTAGATATGTTGATTCATTGACAAGGTCCAAACCGACGCATAATGTTACTAAGCAAAGCAACATGTGTGCCTCTACGAGTGAAAAGAAAAGAACTTTCACATATAGCCACTCAAAAATAGTTTCATTACTCTCCATAGTTATAGTTTGATAATTACAATTCGTAGCTACATGTTATACGGAGCAGAAGAGCAAGCGAGCCTGGGAGGGAGAGAGAGAAGAGAGCGGTGAGAGAGGACAAAGAGTGGAAGAGAGGTGAATTGTATATGTATATCAATTAGATATATAATTGTATATTATACATATACATTTGTACATATGGCAAGCGAGACTCAAAAAGGGAGGAGAGAGGCAAACGAGATTGGGAGAGGGAGGAGAGAAGGTGAGCGAGACTGGGAGAGAGGCAAGCGAGGCAAATTGGATATGTGTATAATTTAGATAATTATATATTATACATATGCATTTGTATAAATGGCAAGCGAGATTGGGAGAGGGAGGAGAGAAGCAAGCGAGATTGAGAGAGAGTGGAGAGCAACAAGAGAAAGGGCAAAGAGTGTGAGGGAGGTGAATTGTGTATATATATCGGTTAGATAATTATATATTATACATATGCATTTGTATATATGGCAAACGAGACTGGGAAAGGGAGGAGAGAGGAGAGCGAGATTGAGAGAGGGAGGAGAGAGGTGAGCGAGACTAGGAGAGAGGCAAATTATATATGGATATTAGTTAGATAATTGTATATTATACATATGCATTTGTACATATGGCAAGCGAGATTGGGAGAGGGAGGAGAGAAGCCAGCGAGATTGAGAGAGAGTGGAGAGCAACAAGAGAGAGGGCAAAGAGTGTGAGAGAGGTGAATTGTGTATTTATATCGGTTAGATAATTGCATATTATACATATGCATTTGTATATATGGCAAACGAGACCGTGAAAGGGAGGAGAGAGGAGAGCGAGATTAGGAGAGGGAGGAGAGAGGTGAGCGAGACTAGGAGAGAGGCAAATTATATATGGATATCAGTTAGATAATTGTATATTATACATATGCATTTGTATATATGACAAGCGAGATTGAGAGAGGGAGGAGAGAGGCGAGCGAGATTGGAAGAAAGAGGAGAGAGGTGAGCGAGAGAGAGAGAGAGAGAGAGCAGAAAGTGAGAGAGTTGTGAATTGTATATGTGTATCAGTTAGATAATTATATATTATACATATGAATTTGTATATATGAAAAGCTAGATTGGGAAAAGGAGAGAGAGGTAAGAGAGATTGGGAGAGGGAGGAGAGAGGCGAGCGAGATTGAGAGAGTGAGGAGAGCGAGAGAGGGTAGAGAGTGGGAGAGAGCTGAATTGTATATGCATATCAATTCGATAATTGTATATTATACATATGTATTTGTATATTCTGCGAATTATACATATACAAACGTGACATACAAACTCGAAGTCAGCCCACATAGTTAATGTATAATGTTAGTCGCAAGTGATAATTATAGCAAACTATAGCTATGATGAGTAATTAAGTAGTATAACTTTGCTTAACCACATAATTTCCCCAATAAAAAATAGAAAAAAATGACAGAAATCTCACATTAAAGTTCTCTTATTACCATTATCCACTATTAGTTTTACAATTCCCCAAAATCTCTCATTTTCACATATTAGATTAATCTATGAACGCATCAATTTAATGTATCTCGTGCATCGGATTAATGTGTCTCGTGCATCAGATTAGTGTATCATGTACAAAATGTACATCATATTAGTGTATCATATATAAAATGTAATGTATCTTATTTAACGTTATTGTACCTCGGACATCAAATTAATGTATCAGTGTAAAATTGTATCAATTTGAAGAATTTTTATAATTATAAACTTATAAGGGATAAATGATAATTTTACCTTAAAAATATGTCATTACTATCTTTTGCCCTAAAAAATAACTAGACAAAAATGAAAAGGGCCCAAAAAATAAAATTAGCAAGATTATTTGAAGATAAACAAAATTACCACAACAAAAATTATTGGACCTAAACAGACGTTCATTATCGAATCTAGCATAACAAGACTATTAAACTAGACAAATAGACAATAATTAGTTTGACACTCAAAAAATTAAACACGATAACTGTTATTATGAGATTTAGGCGGATTGTTCAATAAAACACTCAAGAGTTTAAATGAATATTAATAATTAAATATTATTAAGAAGTAGTTGTTTCTTGAAAGCAATTACAAAAGTTTTAAATTAAAGATTTATCAAATGTATCAAAATATTATTTTAATTTATATATAATCTGGACATAGTAAAAAAATACTATAAGATAGTTGGAATAGAGCTATATGTAATGGGATAGTGAAGATGAAGTATTGAAGTTAACTGAAAGGGTTGGAAAGACTCGATCAATATAAAATTTCTACTCGCATAATTTGATTCACTATTTTCATCAAACAAATCATTTTCCTCACCTTTGAGGAGTTTGTTTTTCTATAAAAAAAAAAATTAGAAAATATATTTTGAAATTCGAATCACACTCTAAAGGATCAAAACGTTTTCTAACAATAATCATAAATAATAGACTATAAGCAAGTATGAATGGGCTTATTTTCATTTCTTTATTAATTTTTTTTTATATTAATCTTATTTTATTTTACATGAACACTATCAAAATGCTTAAAATTAATTTAGCTTTTGAATACATAAGAAAAATCAATTCAAACAGGCTAAATTTACTTTAAAACAAAAAAAAAAGAA